GTGTAGATAGGCAAGCATATATACAAATCATTTAGTAAGCAGAAATCCGAAATTTACCTTAACATATTAAGTTAGAGGAAGATGCGACTGAATTGATGCTTGAAGAATGTGCTTCCAGCAGCCATGATAAACAGTTGGCGGTTAAAGTTTTCTATGCACAATTTGATTTGACGAAAGTCACGAGACCTATTACTCTCTATCCAATCACGTTGATGGATAAAAATAAAATTAAAATAAGCATGTAACGACCACAAACGGAGGAAAATAGTGGAGTAAAAGTACCGATACATCACTTAAAATGTACTCAAGTAAAAGTAAAAGTACACAATTTTTAAACTACTCAAAAAAGTACAATTACTGATAAAAACGACTTAATTACTGTAACGTGAGTATTTGTAATTCGTTACCTCACACCCCTGGTACTAACTAACTAAGGCCCTGTCCACACGAACGCGGTTAGTTTTAAAACCGCAGCTTTTTCTTCGCGGTTAGGCCGTTTGTTCACACGCAAATGCAGCACCAGGTCACTGAAACCGAACATTTTTGAAAATGCCTGCCAGGGTGAAGATTTTCAAAAACTCCGGTTGCGGTGTTATCGTGTAGACAGCGAAACCGGAGTTTTTGGCTTGTGACGTCGGCGCCTGCGCTGTTATCTCCGCCTACTGGAAACTTTTTCAGGCTTCTGATTGGCCAACATGGCTTTACGGTTGAGATTATATCGCCACCTGTTGGTTTGGCATGCTCTTGACAGTGCTTCATAGCATGCGTTTGAGTTTTCATGTGGACGGAGATTTTTTTTTAAACGGAAGAAGGAAAAACTCTGTTTATAAAAATACCCATGTACATGTGGACATGGCCTAATTAACTAACTAAAATTTAATTTAATATAAATAAAAAAATGTTTTGCTTTATTGCATCATGGCTGGTTAACACAAGTAGTCCTATTAAACTTTGTTAGCACCTCTCACATTTCTGGAGGAAATGTAAAGTCTATGACATTTGGCTGAATTGTTTAAAACTATTTCACTGACATTTCCCCATTCCTAATGAATTCTGTCATGAGGTGATTTCTGACTGGCTTTTAACCACAACACGATCCAAGCTCGATCACAGTGTCATCTGAGAAACTCAAACGTCTATCAAAGCTGTCATAATGTGCGTTCATACCGCTTCAGATCGGAGCACAGCAGCCTGGAAACGTATTACGAGCGATTTATCTTCAAGCTTATCGTCTTGTGTTTGTCATGGCTATCTGCGGAATGAGTTTTCCATCTTTCTCCTTATGAAAGTGTCAGTCAAAACCAATTATTGCTCACGAGGAATATAACAGCCACCTTCAACTAAGAACTGGCTCATCTAAAATAGGTTAAACAGATGGAAGGAAATTAAGTGCCTTTTGTGATGTTCTAAAACAATGCTATGGAAATTCCATTATACAGTATGAATGTTGATTTGTAGCTCTACTTGCATGTGCAAAACTGCCATGAAGGTGTTCTTGGTGGTCGCCAGAGCATTGCTATGTGTTTGCTAGTCTCTGTGATATTCAAGTCTTTGTATATGTTTCGGGTTTCTCCTTTAAAATAAGTTGGTGAGATTTTGTTTGTCAATTTTATTAGGGCTGCAAAACGATTAATCGCGATTAATCGCATCCAAAATAAAAGTTTTTGTTTACATAATATATGTGTGTATACTGTGTACATTTATTATGTATATATCAATACACACACTTACAGTATATATTTCAAAAATATTTACATGTAGATATTTATATTCATATAATTTATATTATAAATATATTTAAAATATAAACATAACATATTTTTCTTAAATATATACATGCATGTGTGTGTATTTATATATACATAATAAATATACACAGTACACACACATATTATGTAAACAAAAACTTTTATTTTGGATGCGATTAATCGCGATTAATCGTTTGACAGCACTAAAATACACACACATATATGAATATATTTAAAAAATATATTTGTATGTATTTGTATGTAAACACTTGTATATAATTCATATTATATATAAATATAAATATTTTACATATAAATCTATCATATTTTTCCTTAATATATACATGTATGTGTGTGTATTTATATATACATAATAAATCCACACAGTACACACACATATAGTATTTAAACATAAACTTTTATTTTGAATCGATTAATCACGACTAATCGTTTTGCAGCCCTAAATTTTATCATCCGTCAGGTGAAATTTGTCGCTTACTTGCAACTCACATTAACCTTTGTTCAGTGAATTTTTGCTAGCGAAATCCAGTCATTTCAATAAGAATCCATGAGTTCTGAGTGAGGCAGAAAGATTTTCCAGTGCAGATTTTGCAATGGGTTCAAGTTGGTCACACAAAATTACTGCGTTGACCAACTGAAAGCTGTTTGGTTTGAAAGTGACTTCTGTGTGAGCTGTGCTTTATACATTGCTACGCTATTGACAATAGACAATGGACCTTTTTCACTCGTGACTATGAATGTGATCACACCTTTTGCAATAAAAGCAAACTTTCACAACAAATTGCCAAATCATGTCTGTATCACAAACTGAGAAGTACTGGAGAAGTAATGTGCCAAAGTTTAATGTTAGAGATTCAAATCTTTAAAATAAATAAATAAATAAATAGAAAACGTCATATTTTAGTTACATCTATAGAACATCTACATTTTATAAGTGCTGCCCTCTTTTTAAAGAGAGATGCCCGTCACTATACCACACCCTGTCATTCACAGACTCATACTCACACAATATCAGGCATGCACTCACTACCACAATGTGACAGCAGTAAAAGTCGCCAGTCAATACTGCATTTTGTATTAGACCAAATCCCAGATACTATCTTTAGGGCATACTTATATAATAATAACATCACTGTCTTAAGTCTCAAACTCCCTAGACTCATTCACACTCACTGCTGTCCTGTCTGTGAGACGCACAGCACACATTCCCCAATGTCTCTACCTATAAAAAAAAAAAACGCTCGGGACGCACAAAATACATACCAGTGATCAAATCGAGACAACTAGACAATAGCTCTTTTTCACAATATCTAATAAAGAAAATTACAAATAGAACATTAGGTAAGAAATCAGATTTTGTTCCAAAACAAACGCAAAGCAACAAATCACTTTTTTAAACGAGCGATACACATTTAAATTGAGCATTTCACTAAAATCAAGCAAAAGCAATTAATAAAAAATGTTAATGGGGTAAGAAAAAAAATACTAACAAGTCAATTTACATGTAAAAATGACTGAAATTAAGCTATTTTAGCTTCTGAGAAACATTTTTGGGACATCATCAGGTCTTAAAAGAATTCCTTGTTGGGTTTTTTTGAGTAAAAAACAAAGATCAGAAATAACAATATATATGAGTGTCTATTTCTAAAATAAACATCTTTTTTTTTAATATAGACTCTTCTCTCAGTGGCTGAAGCATGAGGTCTTATGATTTCCTGTCTCTGGTGGGCGTCTGCACCTGTTAGCCTGAGCCTGGAGTCCCCCCTCCCCTAAATCTGTCCCGTTCGGTCCACACAGGAGCCCATCTGCCCCTAACGGGACTCACCTTCTGAGGCTTCCCAGCCGTGCTGTCCTCACTGAGCAGGGAGTGGGTGAGTGCTGTAGTCTCAGACGTAGTGTTGCATGGACTTCCCCAGCAAGAGTGAAGCGAGGTGTTATTCCAACCAGCTGACTGCGGGACAGGGAAGGAGAGAGGTTGAGAAGATTGAGAGAAAGAAGGGTGGACTGGTTTCCTATTACACTCCTCTCCTCTTGAGCCCCCCTCCTCTTTTCTTTCCCCTCCTCTCCTCTCTCTCTCTCTCTCTCTCTCTCTCTCTCTACAAGTCACGGAACAGATATTCCAGACCTCTGAGTCTGACTCTGCTTGCACAGTGAGCAGCAGCAGCAGTAGCAGTCCAGGAGACGGGGCCAGAGCTCCAGAGTCACATTCTGCTTACTGAGGCCCCTTTAGATCTATCAGCGAATTTGCTTCATTTACATAAAATGACAACAGAACTCAGCAGGTGAAATTAAAAAAGAAATATTATTGATATTTTAAGAAATTTTATATAATTTAACAGTTTTCTGAAATATATTTTAAAATGTAATTTAGTCCTGTAATGTTCAGCAGTCATTAGCCTACTCCAGTCTTCATTGTCACATGATCCTTCGGGATCTTTTTGATATGATGATTTGGTGTTCAAGAAACATTTCTTATTATTATCTTTAATAGCTCCTTAATATTTTTGTGGAAACAATGATTTTAATTCCCAATGACATCAAAAAAAGTTTTTTTTTTTCTCTCCTGTTTAAAATTGATCAAAAAGTTCAAAATAATTTAAAAGCAATCATAAAATGAACCCCAACAGGGTGATCAGGATCAGGAAGCTTATTATTTTGCAATCCTATCTGGATACACAATTATATGGTTAGTAGATTTTTATTATTTGCATTTAACATCAGAACAACCCTGCGGACAATTTGAGGCACAGCCCCCTTGTTCAGAAACACCGGATTAAACTATCATCCTGCCATTAATATAAAGCACCATTAATCAACAGTAAAATGTCTCCATACACACATCCACATCCCAGATTAACTGTCCCAGATTCCAGTTGCAAAGGAAGTGCAGGGAGCTGGACACGCTGCAGCCAATTTTGCAAATCACATTGTGCAGACTTCAGCAAGGAAAGTCAGAATTGCCCTCACTACCGCAATTCCACTGCCAAGTTATTAATTACAGATGGTGAAAGCTGGATCTGTATCATGTGAATGATAGCCAAATGTTCAATGGGATTACAAAGAGCCCATATACAGTACTCTAAATTAAATGCATGACAGTGACAGTGGCCCCAAAAAGAATTTGGACACTTAAGTCTCTTAAAATCGTGCCTTGTTTTGCATCCAAATGCCACTTGGTTTCAAATTGTCTGTCTAATGCAGTGACCTTCATGCATTTTTGGATGACTTAAGTTTCAAACTTTAGCAGATAAAAAAGTAAATATGGTGCATGTACCAGTCAAAACAAACAAAAGGATGGCCAATTGATTAGAGTAGGCAATTTGCTCACCAATGTTGTGACATGACCTATAAAGATATCTTGTATTCCTTTGACCATAAATGCCCTCAGTTGTCCCTTGGGGACCCATTAAAAAAATCTTTAGATCAACTCAAAAATTTAATTATTTGTATTTTTTCTTAAAAAAAAAAAATAATAATAATAATAATCAGTTATAAAAACCAGTTAGGTTTTATAATCTCCCCCCCCTTATTTTAATTAAAATAAAATAAGATAACTACATAAATAAATAAGGCTGCACAGATATAATATGCAACGAAACAAAGAAAAAATAAGGGGGGGGAATCTGAAAGTAAATATATTAAATTCATATTTTCAGCAGTTTACTTAAAAACATTATTTATTTATTTTATATATTTACTGTCAAAAACAATTTTTCTTCCCTTTTTTTTTTGTTCCATATTTCATATATACAATAGCGTAATTTATTTATTTTATTAGGGAAAAGGATAAATTACACTAAGCAAACCGCTATTGTAAAATATCTGCTTTGTTCAGCTGTTGTGAGGTCACTGATGTGTGAAAGGGTTTCCCGTGGTTGTGAGCTGTAATTAGAGGTTACTATATTCCTGTGTTGTAATTACAGTCTCAAGTTAAATACTTTCAACAGATCTCAGGTTGCTGCCACTTTATAGCTTCAATTTTAATACGTAAGCAGTCTGCCTGGCTTGCAGTGCCTCGACAATAAGACTAGCCGAAACCGTTTGTGTGGAAGTGTATGGGTGTGTATTAGTGTGTGTGTTGGGACAGCGGGAAATAATTAGCTCTTTTTTGACTCTTGAAGTGATTTACAGCTTTCCAGTGAAATGGTCAGAGTGAAGGGTTGTTCGTTGGGCTGTAAAACCACACACACACACACGCTGCATTACTTACTTGAGGAAAGAAACAACAGCATTTTAATACGTAAGCAGTCTGCCTGGCTTGCAGTGCCTCGACAATAAGACTAGCCGAAACCGTTTGTGTGGAAGTGTATGGGTGTGTATTAGTGTGTGTGTTGGGACAGCGGGAAATAATTAGCTCTTTTTTGACTCTTGAAGTGATTTACAGCTTTCCAGTGAAATGGTCAGAGTAAAGGGTTGTTCGTTGGGCTGTAAAACCACACACACACACACGCTGCATTATTTACTTGAGGAAAGAAACAACAGCACAAATCAGAAACCGTAAATTACAACATGTCTTCAGGCCTAAATCAACAAAAACATAAATGTGACTTGCTGAAATGTTTAATATTAAATACTTGACTTGTAATTCTAAAGACTTTGGTGTGATAACTCAATCTGCTTTGGGAAGCATTACTCACAGATATCCGGGATGTTAGAAACTTTTGCTTGAAATAGTTGGGTTGGCTGCCAAAACACCACTTTGCCTGAAGGAAACGTTTCTGGAATTATTAAGGTGATTATTTTAATGAAAGGAAAATAATACAGAGTAAATGGAGATCAAATCTGAGTCACACAGCAGAGAAGTGCTGCATTTGCTTTTGTCCACTTGTACTAATGTGTGTGTGCTTCTTTAGGTCTTTACAGATGTTTAGCATTTGTCACACTGATGTTAAGTGGCTCATACATAATCTGGGGTCAGAGGTGGCTTAAACTCTGCATTAGTAATGGTCATCACAAACAGACATACATGCTAAAGTAAAGACACACAGACCACTCCATTTACTTAAACTTTATTTGTGAGACATTTAAAGATCAGAATATGGAAGATTAGACTCGAACCTGTACTCTGACGAGACCGGCACTGCTCTGACAAGTTTGCACATATATTTAAGCCAGTTTAAGCTCTATTGATTTCCTCAGAACTTCTCTCCCTAGTGAAAAATAAGTATACTAAATTGTATTTGAAATACATTTATTTCATGCCAAGTATACTACTTATGTACATAATAAAAAAATACACTACAGTTAGTATACTAAACTTAAAGTCTGTCAAATTGGAACAACTAATTTTGTACTTAATGTACTTTAATACACTCTAAAAACTGCTGGGTTAAAAACAACCCATTTTGGGTTATTTTGGCAACCCAGCGCTGGGTCAAAAAGGGACGAATCCAGCGCTGGGTTGTTTTAACACAACAAATTTGGTTATTATGTTTGACCCAGCATGCTGGGTTGCTTTTTTATGGTTTAAAATTACTACACTGCTAGGCTAAAATGAACCCAAATCGAGCTAGACATTAAACCTACAAATCTTCTTCATTTTAAAATCACTTTTACACACACAGAATGTCTATCAAAAGGTAAATATTTATTTAAAACAGTCAAAGTAACATGCATGTAAGAAGAAATGCAGAAAAGTATGGCATTAAAACTATTCTGGCATGACAGTAAATAAACCACAACATTAACACTGATATTATAACATTTATCAGAAACATATGTGTGAAAGAATGTGAGCATGTGTATGAATGTGTAAACTCCATTTCTACTAAACAACAACACAGAACAAGCATTTAACATTTTTTTTACCAATTATACACGTACAGTTTGTTTCATAGTCCATGAATACAGATCAGGCATCGCTGCCAATTTCCATGATCTCTTTAGTATAATTGATGTAGTCATGAAGCCCCATCAGCACAGCAAAGGCATGTCAAATAGTCTGTTTTATAATTTCAACCACTTTGTGTGGTTGTTTAATGTCTCTGTCTACCGGGGCCCTAGAATGCGTTAATGGCAGCACTAGTATACTGAAGTGTATTTGATTGAGCTAGAGTGGAACTATTGCAAGTATACTTCAGCTACACTTTAAATATCTTGCATTTAAAGACTGATATTATTCAAAGATCATACAGTCCTCATTAATAATGACATTAAAACACATTTTAGGCTTAATATTAAGAAATGTGCATTGTGCACAAGGAGTACTCCAAATAAAGTTTTATTATCATTTTTATTTTCAGTAAGTCCCGAGCGACATGTCAGTAAATATGTTAATAGATTTGAAAGATTTTGAATAGATTTGAAAGTCTCTTCTTATGTTTAAGGAGCATTATTGTATAGCCACAAGACTTAAACATTATATGAGAATAGTGTGATTAAAATTGCTTACTGACATTGCCCTCGCAAAGTTGTTTCCAATTTGACTGTAGAATTGCTGATGTTGGACTATGTGAAAAGTCAAAACTGTTCACATAGAGATGCATTTCCCAAACTGGGGTTCGGAAATCCCAGAGGGGTTGTGAGGGAACTGCATGGGGTTTGTGAGTTGATGGAAAAAACTAATCATAAAAATAAAAAATGCAAAATAAAAGCCAATGAATCACTCACTAAAAATGAAGTGTTTTATTTGTTTACCTGCATAGCATGTGACCATTTACCGACATCGTAGAACCGTGACCATGTGAATGTGTTGCGAAGTTATTAAAATTTTAGCTTTAAATCTCCAAAAATTCAAATAAAAACAATCAAAAATAAATACTTACTGTTAAAAAAAAGCATGACATATCTCATTTGACGTGCATGTCACCATTAACCAACATCAGAGAACTGTGAATGTTTGAATATGTTTACTCTATTGAAATATTAACTTAAAATTGCACTTCAAGTAAATGTTTTAAGTCAAAGGCTGACAAAAAAATCCACTGGTGAAAATTGCATTGGTAGTGCATAAAGTTCATCCATCTACAACTGTGGTTCCACCACTAAAAAGATGATTTAAACAACTTTGCTGCTCAAATAAGACATTTTGTGGATACATTTATGTAGGTGAATTAACTAAAATACAAGCTTTACATTTCGACTTTCATTGGACTTTGGTGAAGCCAAAATTATTTTTAATTGTATAATAATAATCCAGCATTGAATAGCCCTTAAATATATCACTATTCAGGTTAATCTGCACTTTATTACACTTATAATCAAAGCTATAGCTGAAACACATCAAATATTGCCTTTTCACCCAGCATGCTCCAGGGAAATTCACCAGCTTCACCTCC